GGTGGAGGTAGGAGGGACAGTCTACCTGCTTGGAGTCTCACCTCCTCCAGTCTATCCTCTACTCAGAGACCAAGGTCATTTTCTTCTAAAGCATTGATTAGATCATGCCCCCCACCCCAACGCTAATCTCTCTATTACATCCAGGATCAAATATAAACTCCTCTGGTGTTTAAGGCCCTTCACAATGAGGCCCCTTCCCACCTTTCTAGTCTTCTTCTTGCCTCCACCCATTCTATGATCCAGCCTCCTGGCCAACACTCCTGCCTCCAGGACTTTGCATTGGCTGTCTCTTATAGGAGGAATGTCCTCCTTCCTCACCTCCACCTCCTGACTTTTCCTCCAGCAGGAGGCCTTTCCAGGTCGCTCTCACTGCTAGTCCCTTTACCTGGAGATGACTTTCCATGTTCTGTGTAAAGCTTTTCAATGCTCCTAGTTATTTATGTGTTGTCTTCCGCATTAGGTTATGACCTTCTTGAGTGAAGGGAATGCGTGTTTGCCTTTCTTTTGTATTCCCAGCACTTTAACATGGTGCCTTGTACCCAGCAGGTGCTTAATTAAGGATCATTGACTGTCAGTAGCCCCATGAGGAGGATGGTCTGAGTATTATTATCCCCATTGTACATATGGGAAAAACAAGGCTATATCACTTCGTTGTCTTGGGTCACACAGATAGCAAGGGTCAGATGTGATACTGGAACCTAGGTTATCCTGCTCCCAGTTGGCCACACTGTTTGTGTGCACGACCTATAGGCAGTGTCCTTTCTCTTAGGACACGCTGCTATGGAGCCTTGGGTAGGAGGCCTGGCTGGACTGGACTGGGCAGATGCTGTCTGGGGTAGCTCCTTAGAAGCCCAAGGTTTCTTAGGCTTGTCACAAAGCCCTAAATAGACTTGTGCCTGTCCAGCCCTCCCCCTCCTCCCTCTCCTCTGATGGATCCTCTCCTTTACCGCCCCCCATGTCTCCAGGACTCCCTAGGGAGGTCTCTGAGTCTCTGTCCCTCATTGGTCTGAGAAAGCTGCCATGCCCTTACAGAGCTAGGGCCCCCGCCCTAGACGCCCATTTATACGCCCTCCCACTGGGCCCAGCTGCTGGGACTCCATCTCCTGTCCTGACCTCTTACCATCTGCTGTGTACTTTTCAGGGAAGCTAGGTGAGCGTCTGGGGGCAGGGGTCCCCGAGGGCTGGGAGCTCTAAGGATTGGGGCAAGGCTGCCAGGGAGGAGGCAGGTGAAATTCAAGGTAGAAGCCCTCTGCTGGGAACAAGTCCTCTCTGGGAGGGCTCGCTCTACTTAGCTGACTCAGTGGGACTTCCATGGTGGTGGTGGTGAGGAGCCCAGGGCCCCCACGTCCCTTTGCTTGTATCCAGAGGCTCAGGATAGAGATGAGCATTGGACCTTATTTGGAGAAGTACTGCCTGGGTGTCTAGATCTCCCTCCTGGAGAAGTTGGGGTGAAGGGGGGCATGGACAGTCACCCTTGTGCTCATTATCAAGGTCTAAGCAGAGCCCCACCCCAGGAGTTGGGCTGAAGGGTGGAGGGATTCACTTCTCCCTTGAGCAAGGGGCTGAAGGGGGCCAGGGCTATAAATATCTCCTCTCCTCTGGCCTGAGAGGCCACCTGTGCTGGCCTGTCCCCTTAGTAAAGACTCAGCCTCCCACCCCCCTCCAGCCTGAGTTGGGTGGGGAAGGAGTCACTCAAGGAAACAGCTGCTACAGCAATTTGTAATCCAGCCTTCCCCCCTGCCCCAACACGCAAATATCATCCCATTTTTAGAAACGCTTTCTCTGACTCTTGGGCATTTTCCAAGACAAGGTTGGCCAGGGAGGAAAGGGCCCTTGGGGAGGGGTCCCAGGAACCCCTTCACCCTTTTGGGGGGAGGCCTCTAGCTGGGGAGGGGTTCCTAGTCACCTTCTATCTTCCTACCTCCACAGGTTCTAACCCCAAGACCTCAAGATGGGAGAGTGAGTATCCCTTCTTCTGTCCCTTCTCACCCTGCTTGAGCCTCACCTGATTTCCTAGCTCTTCTTCTTTAGGCATGACCCTAACTTGTCTTCTTTCTTTCCTCCTCTCCCTTTCCTCCCTCCCTGACCAGTGAAGAGGTAAGTACCAGCTGGAGAGTTGGGCATTTGGGGATAAGACCTGAGGCAGGAAGAGGGATGGGGATATGGGCAGGGCAGAGCAGAGGGGACCATTCCCAGAGGGCTTAGAGTTGCTCTTTATTTCCTCTCCTTGGGGCAGGGGGATTTTTTGCTTTCTCTCCTTCTACCTGCCTACTCCCCCCCAGGCCAGCATCTGAAATGCTGTGGCCAAGTTAGTCCTCCCCAGACTAAATCTGTCTTTTAAGGAGCTGGCTCAGGCAAGGACATGGTTACAGGGCCTAACCAACCCCCCAAACTTCCCACGTTGTCCTGAGCTGTCTGTCCTCCAGGGACAGGGACTGTTTGCAGCAAGTAAGAGGAAGAATCAGAGATCTCACTGGTTCATGACAAATAGGGGAACATGGGTGTGAGTGTGAGTCTGGGGGGAGCAATCTAGAGTGTAGCCAGGCCTGTGCACCTGTGTCTGATGCCCTTGAAGAGCCTCGGACTTGCCAGGGCTCAAGGTCCAAGATTTGGGGATGTGACTTAGATGGAGGGATCCCTCCTCGCCCACTGAGTCACTCCTGGGGGCCTCACTCTCGGGGTGGAGAAGCTGGGCTGCCCCTCAACCCCCTCCCCATAAAAGTGTCTGGGCCCAAGGCTCAGATGCTCCCTGTGCCCACTTGCCTGGCACCCATACCTGAAAGCCCAGCAATGCCCCCCCCCAGCCCATTCCCAATTGACCTTTACCTCCTCACCATCTTTGGCTCCTTTCCTCCCCTATTCCAATCTGCTCCAAACTGGGTCCTGCCCCTCTCCCCTATCCCTGTAGCCCAGCTGCTCAGATTATTGCCCCCCAGGCTCAGTCTTATCGTTCTGGCCTACCCTGGGCCAGGCCTGGTCCCTGCATCCTATTTCCCTGCCCCCTATACCCACACATTAGCCTGGTGAAACTGAGGAAGTGGTCAGGCTGTACAGAGGAGCAGGGAAGTGAGGAAAGAGAGGCCTCCCCCTCCTCCCCTCCACCTGCCTCCTGCACCCATGCCTCCAGCCTCTCCCAGGGAGCTGGGCCAGCACCTCCAAACCCCTCCCCCATCCTCAGGACGAATAAAGGTGTAGAACAAAATGGCTACAAAGAGAAGATACAATGTATCCTCTGGCCTCCCTCCAGACAGGGGAGGGAGAGGAAGGAGAGGAGAGAAGGGAGGGGAGGGAGGGAGAAGAGGGGGAGGGAGAGGAGAGAGGGGAGGGGAGGGGCAGAGAAAGAGCCAGAGCCTGGAGGCCAGTTTAGGCTCTACTACCCTGCCCCCCCACCCCACACTACCCCTTATAATGGTAAAAAATTATAGTAAAACCTGTAACAAAATATATCAAATTACAACAGAAAGACTTACCAAGTGCTTCACCACCTGAGGCAGGCAGAGCCAGGATCAGCATGCCTCATTTACAGATGGGGAAAATGAGGCTGAGGGTCACAGCTTGGGGGGGTAGGGCGGAGCTGACACTTGGCCTCTGCACATAAGAGGAAGGCAGAAAGGGCCTGGTGTGGCTCTGACTATTTTGGGAGGGGCCATGAGCAGGAGTGGGGGGGTGGGGGGGATCTGCCTCGGAAGCTAGGAGAGCTCCAGGGTTCAAGTCCTACCTCAGACACTAGTTGCTGTGTGACCCTGACTGGGCAAGTCACCTCACCTCTGTCGGCCTCAGTTTCCTCATCTGTAGAATGGGGATAATGCCTATAGGGCCTACCTTAGGGTTCCTTTGAGGTTCCAATGAGAGAGATGGTGCCAAGCTCCAGCAGAAGAGGGGACAACTGCACAGGACACCTACAGGCTGCACATTGCCGTAGAGAACTGCAGAGTAATATTACCTATAGTTTTGGATTTTTACTAATTTTGTTAAATATTTCCCAATTCCACTTTACCCTGGTTCTCAGTGGGGACCTGGGCCGTGTTTGACATGTCTGGTGTAACAAACCTAAAACCCCTCTAGACATGTCAGTGATTATCATGATTCTATGAAAGACTCTGGACCTTGCTTTTCCCTTTCTGTGAAGTGGGAGAGAAGCAGGTCCTGGAAGAGGCTGGCTACTGAGGGACTAGAGATGGGGGGTGGGGAGTTGCTCATGCCTTGAGTTTCCCTCTTACCTGGATAGGGATTGGAGTCTCTTAAGTCAGAGAAGGACCTAGAAGGAAGGATAGAGACTGGATTGAGGAAATAATGAAGGGGGTGGGCTGGACACAAACCTAACCTGTTTTCCTCTGCCTTCTGCAGAAAAGGAACAGGGCCATTACGGCCCGCAGGCAGCACCTGAAGGTATGCGTCCCGAGGAGCCTCTCCTCTCCCTGTCTTTGACTCTCTTTTCCCCATCCCCCCTCCTCTCTTCTCTCCCATTCTGTTCCTTTTCCTCTCCCC